ATGTGATAATCCAGCATCAGCAGGAAACAGACACAAGTTGGTCGATAAAATGAAACATTACAACCAATGACACCAATAAAGTACATGAAGGGCATTAAAACATCCAAAAAGACCCACTTTGTAACTCACTATCATCTGTAATAATGCAAATAGTGAATAAAAAATGACTCAACTAAACCAGCATGAACAAATTTCACCAGCGTATGCAGTGTTCATCTTGTACACAAAAGCTGAAAAAGAATACTATATTGCAGTGAGTCAATCTTACAGGCCAGCCTCAAGCCACAGAGTCACCTGTGAGTCAAAGTAAAGGGCACAGTGGCGCAGTTTAATAGAGCAGCTAGCGGGAGTTCATCGTTCCCAGAACAGCAGAGGAAGTCACAGCAACTTACAGAGCAGACAGTTTCCACTGCAATGTAACAGACGGGGGGAAAAACACACACAGACAGACATGCTAAATGTGAGGTGTATTGGTGCGACCAAGGGGAAGGTTTTTGTCGCACTTTGCAACAAACCCAAACATACAGTCAGAGTCATAAAGAACTATCTTTAGAGGTAGGAACAAGGAGTCCTGCAACAGAAAGTACGCTCCCAGACAGCCCTGTCCTCAACGTTATGGAGCCATAAAAAGACAAACCTAACTCAGACAGCCTAAAACTACAGAAGAACTGTGGCAAGATGCTAGAAAAACCTGCCAGCAAAGCACTTTGAAAAACCAATAAAAGGTGCAAATAGGAGAATTAGCTTTAAAGACAAAAAAAACTCTAAACCTACATCTCACTGAAAATCCTGCACAGTACTCTAAAACATCTTAGATGTCGTACTGAAGCAGACCAATAAAAGATTGTTACTAAAGACAACACTTTGTTTTCTATAGTCCAGCATAAGTTTTTAGATATTTCACATCATTACCACACTCGTAGGAATATTGTCAGTTGATGTCTACATTTTATTTGGGTCGAAACATCAAAAACATGCCACCCTGCTGGGCCTGGCCAACAGATAGTCTGCCAAAATGTCTCCTCAGAAAACCCACAAATTGCCATTTCTACACAAACCAAATGCAATATAACTGGTGAATGAGTGGGATTGATGACACCACATGTCTTCAGTCAACAGGAGTGTTGTTTTTGGTGCAACTGATCAACCCTCAAGTGAGCAACTTCAGCCATCCCCACATTTGAACATTTTCACACCGATGTTTGACTATAGATCTGATAACTTGTTTTCGGTTATGGTTTGAACATTACTGACTGCAGGGCTGTTGGCTTCATCAGGCTGTCATGTGTGTTCAGAAGCCAAGTGCGAAGCGCCTGAGAGGAAGATCAGCACAAGGGCTGGATGATACAGACGAAAATGTTTCATATCAAGCAATATTAATAGTTAGTGATACTTTAAATCACTGTCTCTATGTAATTACAATCAGCACCTCCTAAACTGAAGACAGTGGACTCCACCTGAAACTGGGAAGACAGCTGCTGATCCAAGTGAACTGTTTGGTCTTAGTTTGGAGAAAAAGCACACAGGGGTAAAAGGTGAGTAAAAGGCGTTTCTGCCCTTCTTTATGTACTTTTTTTTTTCTCAACATACCGCGTATGAAACAAAGAAGTACTGACATCATTCACTTTGCAGACACATTGCTTGGCATAAGACCTCAGGCAGACTTTTTAAATCACAAACACAGGAAGAAGTTTCATTAAAACCATCAGAATGAGTGTGTTGATTGGGATTGGCAGAAGTAAATGGAGAGGAAATGAGAGGTAAAACTCATACACAGAAACAGAAAAGAATCTACGCTTTCATTCACAATGACTCGAGAACAGTTGTACTTTGTCGCCATTGATTTTTTATTTTTTTACCTGTATGTTTGTCATTTTACCCATTTTGTCTACCAAAGTGCTTATTTAACATTATTTTTACTCACAGTATGTTTACTAGTATGCAGGTGTTGCTGAATGACTAAAATAAAAAGGAAAAGCACAAGATTAAATGCATCTTGTACAATACACAAAGATCATCCTATTTATTTTAGCAGAAAAAAAAATCAACAGTCCAGTTATTGCTCATACTGAACTAGCCTTACAGAAATCTGGTACATATTTTCCTTTGAGAAATATGCACACATACGTCCCTGCAAACCATTTGTAGATATCCATTTGGCATAAGTCGGGTTTCATTCCAAATGCACCACACACTTTAACCAAATTTCCAGGAAACAAACAAAAGAACATGTGCATTTATCAGCGTTTTCGTCCTCTACCATTATGCAAATATGTAATTGGTCGCATCTGGATTAGCAGCTGTTGGTGCTACTTCAGCAGTCAGGTTCCACGATGCCACTGCAGGAAAAAGATGGCACAGTCAAAGCCCAAATAATTAGAAACCAGAAGAGGCAATGGAAATGTCGCGTTTATGTTTGATTCATAGGAATTCTCCTCATTTTACTATTTGTGGTTTCTTCAGTTGAGCAGAATCATGTGTGACAAGTCATACACTTCATGTACGTCCGGGTTTATTCGCCGAGTCTGTTTCTATTACTCTTTTAGTCTTTATATAGCTCAGCTGAGAATAAAAATCTGTGGGCAATTCAACTTTTTTCTACTTTTATTTATGTGCAAACTGAAAATGTACATAAACACAGCCAGATGGAAATACATTTTGAGATATATGAAAACAGCTAAACTCTCGCAGGATATTGCAGTAATTTAATATATCACTTTGTGACGATGTTCACATTTATTTGATGCAATAAATAGCGATGCCCACATTGCATGGATGAAGCAGGTCTGCTTATGAAGGAGACAGGGAATTTGTGAATTCAAGTTGCTTTATTTCCAATTTTCTTTCCCTTCTAGTCATGTTTATTTTCTGTGTAACTCATGACTGCTGTGCTTTATCTCGCCTGCCAAAATCTTCTCTACAAAGGCTAAAGGAGAATACAGTGGAGCTCTGAGAATCAGACTGCCCACCTGCTTCACTTTCCCGTGTGCTGCATTCTGCCCTCAGCACCGAGTAGCAGCAAAACACCCTGCACAAGAAGTACATTTGAAATATTTGTGAAGAAAGCTTCACAAATCAAATTGTCGAGCTCAGTTTAACTAAAAGCTCTCCTTGCAGCAAACTGAAGCAATTTGACTACATATGAAAGAACTGACGTATTAAGGACTAATGAAGTTGCTGATGTGCAGTGTTGTCTTTAAACCTTGGAACCAAGATGCCAATATTCAATTTCACACATGTAGCTGCCAGTTCCAAACTAATACAGTTTAATAGAACAGTTCTACGATATATTCTACCATCACTAAGTTTAGGATATCTAATTTTGCTGATACAATTATAAATAGTCGATAAACTCACTGCACTCCTCTTTTTTCATTGAAAAAAAAAAATGGGATTGGCTCCTTGGGTTTGTTGCATATTAGGGCTGTAATTATTGACTATGTTGACAGTTAAATAACTTTTTGATTACTG